CAGCCACATAATAGGTTTCATTTCTTTTTTAGCTGCCAACTGAATGAAGCCTCAAGCTGGTGCAGGCACCTTATTGGACCATATGCCTGCACCCACAGCCATCTGCAGGATAAACAGGGCCTTGTAGAAAGGCATGCAAATTTCATGCCAGCAGGTATAAATGAGCATTATGAGGGGCTGTTGCCCCAGTTGCTTTCTGAGAATGTTCCCCACTGCTGAACAACCGGCACGTGTGCAGATGCTGCATAAGTGCAGTTCACAGAAGGAGGCAAGCAAAGCCACTGCCAGGCTGCTAGAGGAGGTAAGCAGCAGCAGCAGCAGAGTAGCAGCTCCTGTGATTGCCGTTGCGTGACATCAAGAAAGTAAGGAAACGCATGTGCTTTCTCATATGATCAGGCCCCCTGGGGGGCTCCTGCTTTCTGCACTAAAGGATCACCAGGTCTGGGAGAAACAGCACAAGGGGCCACTCCCAAGGATCTTAAAATCTACATAGGCGCATATGAGACAACGTAGGGTCCCAAGTTGTATAGTGTTTCATAGTTGGCGCTGTAGAAAGTGTACCTCATATTGGCGCTGTAGAATTGGCGCTGTAGAAAGTGTACCTCATAGCCACTGAAGCTGTTGTTACAGGAGTTGCATGTTTCCTATAACTAGTCTGGTCAATAATCAAACCACATCATTTTGCATGAGTGGAAGTTTTGAAGCACCTTTCAAAGGCAGCTGGATGTAAAGTGCATCATAGTAGTCCAAACAGAATGAGGTTGAGATGCCAGCTCCAAGAAAAGGCACTATTAGCACACTGACTTTTTCTGTACAATTGCACTTCTGCTCACTGTCAGCATCATTCTATCAATAACATCAGACAATGCTTAAGAACTTGAACTGCTTCTTTGGATTTATCTGGTTTTACTTGTCAATAAACTATGACATGAGAGTGCTAAACAAGTTAGATTATATCACTACCGACCTGAAATCTCCACCCCTGCCCCCAACCCCTGCCCAAGGATGGGCTACCTTTTAGACTCAGTTAGATGTGATACAGAGTTTTCTTCATAAGTCTTATGTCCTTACACTGGATGGGAGAACTCGTTTCATTGCCGCGGAGCAAGATGGGGTAATTGAAGCCTGTCCTTTAAAAAAAAAAAATGCAATTTCTAATGACGTACTTCAGCTCTCAGTTATATCAAATGAAGAGTTATGGATATCCAAGTAGCTGCAAACCTTTCAGCACTGAAGTTTCCCCAGTAAAAAGTTTTGCATTACCTGCTTTATCTCTCATTCTGTGGGCTAATCCAACAACAACCGTCTGTTCAAAATGATAATTATGAAGCAGGCTGAAATCATCACCAATCTCTTTGCTACTCGCCAGCTGTAAGTTCAGTTCAGCTCTGTTTCAAATGCATTTGTTTCAGCCATAAGCCATAGCCAGTTCATATAAATTTGTGTGTAATTAAATCTTCAAGGTAGCAAAATAAACAGTGTATAATTAATACAATCAAAGCCATCTGTAGGTTGTTCAGCACCTGTTCTGCAAAAGGAAAATCTCCTTTGACTAAAAATGTAAACAAGGTTCTCAAAAGGGAAACAAAAGGAGAGGGAGAAAGATGAATACATGCAAATAAACCTGCTCTTGCTGTCCAGAACAGACTGCATTGTGTTCTGTACTGGTTTAGCCAGTCTATAGTCTCATGGTTTTGTTCACCTCAGGCCAGGTAACTGTCATAGTTCTCGGGGACTGTAATTATCATGCCTTGTGCCTGTAGGGCATGACTGAGCACAAAGGGACTGGCATTTAAAGCACAAAAGCAGAGAAACTAACTGCGAGGGATCTTACTCTAAGAAAAACTTATGCAAGATTTGCAAAACTCCCACTGCCAGCAATCCAAGCCTCGATGGTGGCATAGCCCTTGCATCCAGCATGGGTTTGCACAGCCAGTGACTGGCTGAGCTGCCTGTACCACCAGGCATGCTTTGTCACTTATCAGTGGCCTAACAAACCCCTTTATTTTCTGCCTGCCCAGCGCTGCAGAAACAGCAGGATTGTCAAGCATAAAGCAGGTCACAGTGCATGGCTGGTAGGCAGCATTCATGTTGTGGGTCACTGGTTCTGCAAGCCTGATTGAGACGAAACTTACCCTTTACAAGCTAGACCTGCCATGTTCAGAATTACAAATCTATATGATTGAACTGGAAGATATATGAAATGATCCCTTGCACAACCAAGCCAGGCACCTCACAGTTCCTGTATTTTCCCCCCATTCTTGGTATATGCCATGATTTGTGTTCAGCTTTGTGGATCAAAAGGATGGGACAGTTTGCTACAGGAATGGAGAAGGTTTTTTAGTCGCACAGAAAGTTTCATTAAGCAGAATGTGGGTTGGCAAAAGTTGGTCTATGTACTGCATTCAGGTTAAGTAGAAAAACCCTGATTTGTCCACTTAAATTCAACCTCCAAAATCCCTCCTCAGACTAGGAAAAGCCCTACTGCAGGCAATTCTTTATAGTCCCGTCAGTAAGCTACATATAACCTTGCTTGATGCACCTGTTATGCTCCACCTGTGTGTGGAGCCTGAATTGGGGTCAAGGTTCTTTGGACTGAAAAATCTGTATCATATTTTGTGTCTCTGTTCTTTGGGCTTAAAATGGAAACAAAGAGGGGTAGTTGTACCCAACCTGGTGTCCTCCAAATTGTTTGGACTTGAATTCCCATCAGCCCCAGCCAATATAGCCAATGATCAGGAATATTGGGTATCATAATAGTTCAAAACATCTTGCAGAAACTAGTTTTGGGGAACATGGGTCTAGGACACTTAAAGAGTAGTCAAAGGATTTCTGCTTTCTGGAAGTGTTAAGCGACATCAGAAATAAAATTTAACTGAAGGACTGCCAAGGCTTCTGTAGACATTTCTTTGAACTATTTTGTTCTAAGATGATATTCTGTTAATTTTCACTGTGGACCCATGCTTCTTTTGAAGGCATAGGTGTTTACACAGACCAGTGCCAAGACTAGTCCACCCAGCAAGGATGTACTGCAGTGTTGTGTGTATAAACATAAAGGGACACAAAAGTAGGCCACTCGATACTGTATGTTGAACAAAGACTCCAGCATCTGCTTTCTGAATGAGGAAGGCCTCTGCTTGCACAAGATCCCTCTGCTGAATGTTGGGGACCCAACCACAGTCACCTCATTCAGTGCATGTCCACATTTTCTGAGAGGGGCTGTCATGAGAGAGAGGAAACAGGGAGGTCCACTTCAGCCAATGCACTCAATCCAGCTTTACTTTGTTTTCTCCTTCTATGCAGGATAGAAAGGAATGGTGGAAATGGTGTGGGGGGATTTTTTGAGAAAGGCATTACTAATAGTGCAAACTATGGATGGCTAACAGGGCATAGCATTGTACCCTTCTTTACAATTGCTCTCATTAGTGAGCTACTAATGTTGCTAAGTTTTCATGCCACCTATGGAACCTGCAGAGAAGGAGAAAGAACAGGGTTAGCACTCCACAGATATTTGTTACATAAATGTGGAGATATTCCTGTGCCAATGCTTTAACTTGTCTGTGCTTACGTAACTTAACTTTTGTAGTACACAACACTGTGCTTCTGAACATGCAGCAGCATGAAAACAAACACTGAGTTTGTGTGCGTGTGCGGTCAACATTTATTAGGCTAAAAACAGCTTTGCTGCTGGAGAGTCCCCTTCCTTCATACAGACCTTTGCACCAATTCCCTCAAAACCCATTCCTTCCCACTACCACATCCCTCATTCCTTTGTTTACAGTTCTTGGAGCCCATATTTGTAGCTATTGCTGCTTTTACTGGTAGGAGATGTCTGTTGAAGTGCTTTTTCCATCAACGGGATGAGTTGTAACTGAATATGCAGCTCTCCTTCAGGCCTGTGCATTGATCATTGTAGTGTTTAACAAAATTAAATACTCTTAACCCTTCACAGATTTTTCCTCATTGTTGCACCTAGGCTGCCTTGGCATATTTCCATTCAGTTAAAAGAAGGAAGGAACCCGCTGTGCTTTTGTTCCATACTGTTCATTGTACCTGCTCCAAGTGAAACTTGTCTGTTCCAGGCAAAGCTGTGAAAGCACCAGTGTTTTTCCTGGTAGTCTCCTTCTCCTTCTCTTCTTCTCCTTCTGGATCTCTAATTTAAACAGAAACAATTAAGCAAGTAAATGGCACTGAAATCAGTAACAGTCGCTTCTACCTTCAAATAATTAACAATGTTATCCTATGCATGTTTTGACAGAAAAAAAGCTTTCAACTCCCAGCATGCTCCAGCCAGCTATGTCTGGACATATATAGGATTCCACTCTTAAATTCATAATGAAAGGCAAAATGAAAATGGGCAAAGCTACTCATGTATACTTGTTTAACCTATGCCTGGAACCAGAAAAGTTATAGAAAAGAGGGAGAATATTCAAAGATACCATATCTAAGAATAACATGAGTTTTTATTTGATAGGGTAGCTGTGCTGGGTGATGGGTCAGTGACCTAAAGCTAAGCTTAGTTGGGGGGAGTACAGAAGGAACAAAGCAAGATGGAAGACCTACCTTGCCCCATACTCTTTTCCAGATACAAATCTACCCTAGTTTCAAGTAGCTCTTAGAAATATTGTCAAATATACAACAAGAATGAGACTGGCAGGAAGATCAGGAGAAATATCACTGTGAGTTGACTCAAAACTAATTACATGTAGCACCTTCTGAAATCAATGGAACAAATGTGCAAGCTTATGTAAAGAAATTACACATCAGAACTGTTTGCCTTAAAATCTTGCGCAAAATTGGGTCAACATGAACACTTGATACAATTGGGATTCAATAACATTCGAAAAGTAACATTTAAATTCTCTGTGTTGGCATTCTGGTAAATATTTATGGAAGTAGAAATACCCTTGTGTTGTTCTACACAATGATTTATTTATCTCCACAGAGTATCTGCCTGTGAATGTCTGTGTTCTCTAAATATTGAATTTTGTGTTGTTTAGTTTCCGCAGGTTCACACGGTCAAATAGCGTTACAACAGCAGTTCAAGCAGATATGGATTTTCATGAGAACTTTGAAATGTCCATGGACCCTCAAGAAGACCATTCATATCCTAGCCAAATGTTAAGACAGTATTCTCGAGATGCCAGCACTTCCACTGTAAGCATACAGGGCTCAGGAAACCATTATCATGCATGTGCAGTGGATGACGACTTTGATACGGATTTTGATCCTTCAATTTTACCTCCACCGGATCCCTGGATTGATTCTATAACAGAAGATCCCATTGAAGCTGTTCAAAGGTCAGTGTGTCAAAGAGATGGACACTGGTTCTTGAAGCTCCTACAAGCAGAAAGAGAGCGCATGGAAGGTTGGTGCCAACAGATGGAGAGAGAAGAACAAGAAAACCACCTGCCTGAAGAAAGTAAGCATTTCAAATACTGATATATAAAAATCCATTATTTTATGGTTTTTCCCCACCTAAGGATTAGAAAATCCCAATCCTAGTGATGGCCAGGTATGCCTTTGGTTGCTGAAAATTATTGGGTATCATCTTATGTACATGCTCTGATTCCACATCTCTGATTAAGTATACAAATAAACTGATAATTCATCTAGGTAGAGGGTGTTGCAACAATTCCAGGGCTTGCATACCAATCATAAAGGATACATCTTCATTTATTAAAATTTCTATATCACCATTTAGCATAGCTTCAAGGCAGTTTATAAATGCAAAATAAAATACAAGTGAAATATGTAAAAAATAATATATTAAAAACAAGGTATTAATGTTCTACAGATATTGGGCTTTAATAGTGAAGTCCTGTGTCTTTCTGAAATTCTAGCAGGCATGGCAGGAGTGAAAACAAGCATGTTTTTGCCTTCCCTGTTTTTTAACATTTTAAACTAGATGAGCCCTTTGGCCTGCCAAGCTGACTTAACTTTAGTGGACAAGGAACGGAATGGAACAGCACATGGACTCAGGACATCTCCTTGTCCTTCCTTGCCCATCATGCATCTCCTTTTCTCCCTCCCTACTGAAATGTATGGTGCTTATGATTCCCTCCCATGGGGTTGCTCTCCTATATACATTTAAAAGCCTGAGGAAATAATTGTATCTTGCCTGGCACATGGGACAGGATTTGCAATTCTGGTGGGGAAATGGTGCTTACAGAAAAATAAAGAGCAGGGTCAGTTTCACTAGTGCAATTAGAAGAATGTGCAGTTTGGTTCTGAGCCTCTCCTTCAGTCAACATTGCCCCTATGTTCTCAAACAATTCATCAGAAGCTAAAATAACCAATTTTATTTTAAACAGAAACCATTTTTAAACAGCCAAATCAGGTCTCACATACTCAAAATGTACACAGTAAGGAGGGACTTGGGAGTTTTCCCATCCTTTGCTTGTAAAAATGCAAACAGCATTTCAACTCACAGTCCAGGTGAACATGGTTTCTGAGATCCATGGTCAGATCGCCTAATACTTGTGAAAACTTAGAAGCTGCTGCATCAGGGGAATTGGATCAGGGTAGTGACTTGGGAGGAAAAGAGTTTGCCCCTCTCCTTATGCCATGTTTTTATTAAAATTTTGCTTCTCACCCCAAATCCCAGATCAACTGTAGGTGAAAACAGACATTGGTATTTGGATCTTCCTTTTCACCCCAACCAAATTAACAGCATTCTTGGGCATGTGGGGTGATAGATTAGTTAGTAAAACAATGTGTGGATGGGGGGAAGATTTAACAGGAAAAGTACTGCCACCCATTGCTACTTCCCTGATCCAGTATGAGCACTCTACAGCATTTTTAAGTTCTTATTCTTCAGATCTGATCCCAAATCATCTATGCCATAACCTCCACAACAATTCTCAGGGAATTTTGTTGAGTATTCCAACCCAGGAACATACATTGCCCAAAGTTATGGGACTGAGAGAACTGGGCATGTTCAGCTTTGAGAAGACTGAGAGGGGACATGATATCCCTCTATAAGTACCTCAAAGGCTGTCACAAAGAAGAAGGTCAAGATCTCTTCTTGCCAGAGTGTAGGACACAAAATAACCAGTTCAAGTTGTGAAGACCCAGATTCAGGTTGGACATCATGAAAAGCTACCTCACTGTTAGAGCAATACAACAGTGGAACCAGCTGCCTAGAGAGATGGTGGGCTCTCCTACATTAGAGATATTCAAAAAGTAACTGGACAGCCATCTGAGTGGGATGGTGTAAACTGGTGTCCTGCAACAGCAGGCAGTTGGACCCGATGTCCTTCATGGCCCCTTCCAACTCTACTATTCTATGACTTCTATGAATCTATGACTAACTCCAGCAGCCAGTACTGAAGGCGTTAAATGAAGATCTTTCCAAATTCCTTGCTTTTGTATGAAGACTATATTGTTACCATTTTTTGCAGGCTCTGAAGATGACCTTCCTACTACTATCATTCATTCCTCAGAAATTCTATTTTCTTTGTGTTCACACAGCAGTATTAAGTTGCTCAGAAAAAGCAATGCTTCCCACCTCTCCACCACCTACAGTTCAGTCCTCTGCATATTAAGACAGAAAAATGTCTAAACTGACTGGGAATGCTGAGAATTGTAGGACTGTCTAAACATGCACAGGATCGCACCCTTAACTGTTGTTGTCAGGATCACAGTTGTGTTTGAGCCGCACATCTTGGAATGGAACTTGTGAAAGCTTTTCCCTGCTTTTTTGAGTCAAGTTAAAAATCCTCTACAATTTCACTTACAATTATAGTTTTTAATTCTGCAAGCCTAACAACAAAGAGGTAGGGACTGGGGGAGACTCAGGTTGAAATGTGCACTTAGCAAGAAAGCTTACTGACTGACCCTGGAACTCAGTAACTATGTCTCAGGTTAACCTACATCACAGGGCTTTTCTAAGGATAAAACAGGTGCTGGAAAGCCATGTGTCCTCCTGAGCTCTACAGAGGAGAAGTAGGATTTATTAAAAATAACAAAAACGTAATGACTTGCTTTCCTAATATGAGTAAGTCTGCAGATTAAGAATTGGGGGAAGAGTCACATAACTACAGTTGTAAAGTGGCACATCCACCATTCCACATGAGTATCTACTTAATGATACTGGTTCCTTTTATCATGTAACCAGGCATTTTTGTGTTGCTACTCCCTGCAGGCACAAGCCGTTCCTATCTATATCCGCCATTTAAATGCATATGGCAAAGCCCAGCACAGACAGATGGAATGTCTGTTGTTTTGAACTCCAGGATCATAGACGTTCACTATCTCAGTTACACTGAGGTTCTGGAGAGGGGTGTTAGATGACAAGCAAATGAATCCTGGAGCTTCGAAAGGAGGTTTATTGGTCGGATGGTAAACTGATTGGAAATCTGCAGTGGCTGACGTTTCCTCAGCCTCCTGGCAGCTGAGAGAGAGGTTGCTTGAAATATGATACAAACTTTTCTCAGACAAAGCCCCCTTGTACAGAACAGCTGTCTGGAGGAGATGGCTCAGGGCTGTCTGAGAGAAGCGTGTATATTACATAGACACATTTGCTATTATCTAACCAAGAATGACACTGTCAGATGGGACTGAATGTTTTGAATTAGAAATGCAATTTGTTGCTACACATAACAAGCTAGAACATCCGTGGCTCCAAACTGAGTTAATAACATCAGGATATTTTATTCTAGCTAATTATGCACACATTTTTATTATAGTAAAATCTGTTGCTTTTCTGAACTCACTTATCTGCAATAGGAGGCCTACATAAGAAAATGAAAGCCAGATCTCTCCATGTCATTGGTATGAGCACAAATCAGAGTGCTGATTATGATCCACATAAAGACTGCTGAATCTGTACAGGGACACACATCCATCCTACACTTTTTTCTATGCTCAGATTTTAGAAGTGGACTGTCCATTCCAAGAGTGTGCACAGAGATACTGGGGCTGCAGATACAGCCCTTTTGAAAGCAGGAACCCTCTCAATCAGCTGTTTATCAGTGAAGGTGAAATAGTGGAGAGTGAGAAACTAGCATCTTAACCAGCTGATCAGCAGGATTTCAGTTTCAAATGATACACAACACCCCCAGCTGTTGGACTGGAAAGAATTGCACACTCAGCAGCTGTTTATTAGCACATTTCCCCATCCAGCAAGGAAGCCTGTTTCCATGAGCATGTATCTGGTAGCCAGGGAGATGTTTTAGAAATAAATGCATAAAGATGCGTACCTGTCTTATTTGGGTTGGTTGCTGGCTGGATGTCCTCTTGCTAGAATGCTCAGGATTTATTTATTTGTCTACTGATTGAAACATAAAGGTAATGCTGTTCTACTGTCCATTTAAGGATGATGCTTTATATTCCTTCATTTATGAAGAACTATGTTCAATATAATTAACTTATCTAATGGGTTAACTATTCTCCCATCACTATTTAATTTTCAGGGGGTTTTTTGTAGCATATTTATGTCACAAGGGCATCCACTGCAGGCAAAAACATCACTAAGTCTTATGGCACCTTGAAACTAACACATTTCTTATGGCCTACTTTTGTAAAACAGAGCACATGCATAGAATGCCATCCTGACAACTTCCCCAAAGTGGTACCCTTCAGATAGTGTAGCCTTCAATTTCCAGCCAACCTAACAGCATGGACAATAGTCAAGATCTTTGGGAAGGATAGTTATATGTAGATTAATTCAGAAACCATTGACAAAATAGTTTTGAATACTACCTTGGCAATGATTTATCACACAGTAGTGATCGTTTTTTTATCAAGTTCCTTAAACTTAAGGTGTAACATGGACTGTAACATTTGGTTGGTTGGTTGATTTAAAACATTTTTTACTTGACTCTTCAAACAAAATTCTGGAGTGGCTTACAAAGATACAACAGTGACCAGGTTCAGACTATACATTGTGGCTCATCTTGGTTTATTTGACCCACTCACAGGCACCATTGCAGGGTTGTCTTGTTGTACGAATCCAGCAAATGTAGATTATGTGAAGGGTTGTTTAACCCTCATATAACCTATGCCCACCAAGTTCACATGACATGGCAACCTCGAGCAGGATTCGCATATTGGCAAATGCTAGTGGCACATGTGTCTCACAGATGCAGCAGTCTCACTGTGTCATATCATGTGAACAGCCCCAGTCTGTTCATTCCCCTTTTTTCTATTGAACACAAGAGTTCTTAGTGACATATTCAGATATGTCATAACAATTGAAACACTTTCTTAGATGTGACTGAAATGAAACCAGCTGATGCCCAGTCAGCCCTTCTTCAGGACTGCAGGTCAGTTAGAAGATCCTGCACAGACTTGCAGCTGTGGGCTACTAGTATTTTAAGGGCTCCAAGAAGTAGCCTGGCATTCCAACCTTCCCATACATGGATGTAATGCAGCCTTATGCTCTTGGTCCTTATACAGCCTTTTGAGCCTTATGGGGCT